GCCCCAGACACTCCCCTCCCCAGACACCCCCCACACCAGACACACCCCCCCAAGACACCCCCCACACCAGACACCCCCACCCCAGCTGCAGCCGCTGACACTGCCCCTGGGCGGTTTTTTGGAGTCAGATTAAATCCTGGGGCAGGGAGGGGGGAACCCGCAGGTTTGGGACACAGCTTGTGGGGCACTGGGGACACCATGGTCCCTGAGCCCTCAGGGTTGGTGGGGGCTTAATGGGAAGGGGGGGACACAGGGGACCCCCCGGAGGGTTTATAGAGGAGGACAGCACTGGTGTCTTGCTGGGGATGAGCAGCGCTGGCTCAGGCTCCCCAAAACTGGCTGCTTTGGGCACCCCAAAACCAGCTGCCCCATCCCCGGGCAGGGTCGGGACCAGAGGAGCTGCTGGTCTGGGTGGTCCCGTCCCACTGTGCCCATAGGACACGTGGCATCACGTGTGTCATCCCCCCCCACCTCCTCCCCGGGGGGGTTTGGGGTGCTGGCACGGGGGGCACAGAGAAAGGCAGAGGCAGGGAGCCGGCAAGTCCTGCCACACGACAGGCCATTCATTGCCACAGTGTCCCCCCCGCTACCACTGGCTGAGGCGCAGGATGAGGGTCTCCCCGTCCTCAGGTCTGTAGTCGGCCACACCTGTGGAGAGAAGGGGGGAGAGCAGTGGTGGGGGATGCCCGGGACCCCGCTGCCTCCCCCGGGACCCCCACCCGTCACTCACCCATCTGCAGGCTGGTGTCGGGGGCGGTGAGGAGCTGCCAGTAGCTCTGCTGCTGCTGCCGGGCCTCCAGCCCCAGCACCCTGCTCAGAAAGGGGCCCTGGGGGGTGTCCTGGGTGACAAACCTGGGGGGTGGAAAAGTGGGGTGGGGGTCCATCACCACTGCCAGCGGTGGGGCAGTTCTGCTGCTGAGGGAGCTGGGCGGTGGGTGCCAGGCACGTGGCCACCCCGGGTGTGACACGCAGGGACCCCAGAGGGTCCCCTCACCCCGGCACGTAGGGCCACCTACGTGAAATTGGGGGGTCCCTGGGTGGTGGCTGCCCTGAGCACGTCCAGGAGGGAGGCACCGGCTGGCACGGACACCGGCTGGTCATAGAGCTGGCTCTGGGGACACCACGGCAGGGGACACTCCACCACCAGCCGCACCGTCATGTTCCCCAGCATCTCAGGCAGTGGCTCGGCACTGACGGGCGTCAGCGTGTCTGCGAGAAGGAAGCCACCGTGGCACTGATGGCACCGAGCCACCATCGTGGTGGGTGCCAACCCCATCCCAGCTTCCCTGCCCCGTCTCCCCACGCCGTCTCAGCTCCTACCCGGCTCCTCCTGGCAGCGCATGGAGGCAATGTCCAGGTAAGAGTGGCCGTGCAGTGCCGGCAGCGCCTGCGCCATGGTGGCAGTGGTGGTGAAGGCATCCAGGTTCTTCAGCAGCGCAGCCATGGCCCGGCCGTAGGCTGGCTGCGTCTGGCACGTGTCGGTGGCGATGAAGACCTGGGAGCGGGAGGGAGGAAGGCAGTGGGGCAGCGCCGCAGGTGGGAGGCCATGGGTGGTGGTGGTGGTGACCATCACCTGCGTGCCCAGCCCCTGCCCCACGGCAGCTGCCTCTGCCCCGGCACCCATGCCTGCACCCACACCTGCACCCACATCTGCACCCACACCCCACCCTGGAGGCCCCCCTGTCCACAACGCCCACCTGCATGGCCCAGGGGGTGCTGTAGATGTTGCCGAAGAAGCCATCCGGGCCCTGCGCCTCCACCATCCTCCTCCTCGCCCGGCGCGTGGCCGCCCGCAGCTCCGCTGCCAGCCGGGACCCCACCAGCCGCTCCCGCTCCAGGCAGGTGCCAGCTCCTACCCGGCTCCTCCTGGCAGCGCATGGAGGCAATGTCCAGGTAAGAGTGGCCGTGCAGTGCTGGCAGCGCCTGCGCCATGGTGGCAGTGGTGGTGAAGGCATCCAGGTTCTTCAGCAGCGCAGCCATGGCCCGGCCGTAGGCTGGCTGCGTCTGGCACGTGTCGGTGGCGATGAAGACCTGGGAGCGGGAGGGAGGAAGGCAGTGGGGCAGCGCCGCAGGTGGGAGGCCATGGGTGGTGGTGGTGGTGACCATCACCTGCGTGCCCAGCCCCTGCCCCACGGCAGCTGCCTCTGCCCCGGCACCCATGCCTGCACCCACACCTGCACCCACATCTGCACCCACACCCCACCCTGGAGGCCCCCCTGTCCACAACGCCCACCTGCATGGCCCAGGGGGTGCTGTAGATGTTGCCGAAGAAGCCATCCGGGCCCTCCCCCTGACTGTCCCCACGGTCCCTTACCCACGGCGCTGCCGCCAGCATGCCCGAACCGGCCGTGGTGCTCGGCCGCCAGCAGCCGGCGGATCACCTCCTCCCGCACCCGCTTGCGGTGGACGCACAGCGCCAGCACGCCCAGGCTGTACTGGTAGTAACTGGTGAGGGGGTGGCCGTGCCGCCGGGAGCCTGGGGACGAGGTGTCGTGTCACTGGGGTGGCCCAGCGGCCGGACATGCCGGCACACGGGGACGAGGTGTCACAGAATCACACAGAATCACAGAATCATCTAGGCTGGAAGAGACCCTCGGGATCATCGAGTCCAACCATCTACCCTACTCTAAAGTTCTCCCCTACACCATATCCCCCAACACCACATCTAAACTAGCCAGCACTAGTTCAACTCAGCTGGGGACAAAACCAGTGCCCCACGGCAGCTGCCTCTGCCCCGGCACCCATGCCTGCACCCACACCTGCACCCACATCTGCACCCACACCCCACCCTGGAGGCCCCCCTGTCCACAACGCCCACCTGCATGGCCCAGGGGGTGCTGTAGATGTTGCCGAAGAAGCCATCCGGGCCCTGCGCCTCCACCATCCTCCTCCTCGCCCGGCGCGTGGCCGCCCGCAGCTCCGC